TAAATAATAATTTAAATTAAAAAAAAAAAACCTCTCCTAAAAAAAAGAGTAAGAACTGCTCTTCACCAAGCATTGACTGGACAGGCAGCAGCATGTGAGGGACGATATCTGCATTACTCATAACCCTCAAAGGACCTGTATCCTGAATATGTAAAGAACTCCTATTCCTACATATCCATATGAAAAATCAGACAACCCAACAGAGCAATGGGCAAAGCACTGAAGCAGGCTCTCCTGGATGCCTAAGATGTGGTGTCTCCGGACACCAGAACATGGCTCATCACTGCGATACCACCCTCGGCCACATACCTTGGGAGACAGTGCAGTGAGATCACACAGCACTGCAGGGTGTTCTCTGGAGACGCGCGGCCCAGCCACTTCAGGTATGTACTAACAGAGGTACCTCTGTTCACAGAAGCTCCTCCCCATATGTCCTCCAAGGTGAGCTGGGGGGTTTAGTCCTCGAGGGGGTTTAGTTCCCAAGGACCATGAACCCACATCAATACACATAGGGGAAGAGTGAAGCTCACAAACGGAGGTTGAAGGGAGGCAGAAGACAGACACCCATCACATGATTCTATTTACAGAAAGTTCCCCAAGGGCACATGCCATGGTTTGAATGTGTCCCTCAAAAAGCATGCGTTGGGGGACCAGCAGATGCCACAATGGCTGTATCGTTGGACTCTCATGTAGTCAACTGCAGTTCGAGTCCTGGATCCAGTGGCTTAAACTCACTCCAGGCGCATGTGTGCGCATGCCCAAGATCCTAAGTGCCCTATAGCAAAAAACTCTTAAAAAAAAAAACAAAACACCATGAATTGGAAATTTGATCCCCCAGTACAACAGTGCTTGGAGGTGGGGCCTAATGGGAGGTGTTCAGGTCACAAAAGCATCACCCTTGTGACTGAATTAACATGGATTATAAAAGAACTTGAGTGGCCAGCAGATGGTGTGGTGGTTAAGGTGCTGAACTTCCACATGGCAGACTGCGTTTCAAGTCCCGGACCTGGCTGTTTGCTTTCTCATTCTCATCTCACTCTTTCTCTCCCTCTCTCTCTCTCTCTCTCTCTCTGGTCAAGTTGAAGAATAACAAACAAACAAACACACAAACAATTCTTTTCAAAAAAAAAAAAAAAAGAGCTTGAGGCTACCAGTCCAGTCTCTTGCTCCCTCTCACCCTTCCTTTCCCTTTCTGCCATGGCATGACACAGCAAAAGGCCTTAGTCAGATGCTGGCCCCTCAATCTGACGAAGGCTGACTTCCCAGCCTACAGAATCATGAGCCAATAAACTTCTGTTCATTATAAATTATCTAGTCTCAGGACCAGCAGTTGGCGTAATGGCTATGTTGCTGGACTCCCATGTAGTCAAGTCGGGTCAAGTCACAGACCCGGTGGCTTAAACTCACGCTAGGCACGTGTGTGTGCGTGCCCAAGATCCCGAGAGAATAGAGGAGAAGAAATTGCAGGGTGGCCATCCCCCCCCGGGGGGTGATTTCTCGCTTTCTGTCTCTGTGTCTCTGTCTATCTGTCTGGTGAGCGCACACACCCTATAGCAAAAACTTCTCCAAATAAAATAAAATAAAATAAGTTATCCAGTCCCAAGTATTCTGTTATAGTAACAAAACAAACTAGGACAGAAGACAAACACATCCGTTACCCTGGAAGGGAGGAGACAGCAGTGGGATGCCCATGGGGCTCCAAGACCCAGACATGCTAAGATCTGATGGTAGTGCGGATTCTGAGCACGTTCACCTTGCAGAGTCGAGCCACCAATGGCCTGTGCACTTGCTGTATTATTCTGGCCTTCAGTAAAGTCTAACCAACAACATGAATGGATTTGAGAAAACATTAAGAGGCGAAATTGGAGCCAGACAGTGGTGCAGTGGTAAAACATGATGCTCAGGGACCAGCAGGTGGTGTCATGGTTAAGGCGCTGGATACTCCCACGTGGCCAACCACGGTTCGAGTCCCCGACCTGGTGACTTGTTTTTTCACTTTCTCACTCTCGCTTTGGTCAAATTAAAATGAAATAAAATGAATAAATAAAATTAAATAAATAATTCTTTATTAAAAAAAAAAATGATGCTCGGGACCAGCAGTTAGTGTAATAATAGCTATGTTGCTGAACTCCCATGTAGTCAACAGCGGTCGAAGTCCTGCACCCGGTGGCTTAAACTCATGCCGTGCGTGTGTGTGTGCGTGCCCAAGATCCTGAGAGGAGATTGAAGGAGAAGGGACTGCGGTGTGGCCATCCCCCCTGGGGGGTGATTTCTCACTTTCTATCTCTCTGTCTTTCTGGCAAGCGCATGTGCCCTATAGCTGAAACCTCTCCAAAAAAACAAACAAAAAAATGATACTCTACAAGGCTGACCCACATGAGAAGGTGGCCACTTCCGGTCTGGAGACCTCCCTGCATATGCTGGACACGAGTGTGCCCATGATCCGGGGCTAGCTGGAGGTGGACTACAGTATCCACAGCTAGACCCTGCCAGGGTCCTGGATCTCTGTCTGTCTCCCCCCCTCACTCATAGAATAAATAAACTTGACGACGGAGGATGCAGGGACACCTAGGTTACAGGAGAGCAACCAGGACTCCATTTCTCACTTAGCCATCAGTACCCTGCACTGGGAAAGGAGCAGGCCTAGGGGAACCTCCTGAGTAGAGCTGAGGGGACACAGCAGTCTCGATCCAGGACTCAGGCTCCTCGTCTTCACAGGAGGCTAGAGGGATGCCCTGAGGCTGGCTGGGGTGTCACCGAGGATCAGAGGAGATACAGCAGGCTGAGAAGCACACTACCAGCTCCAGTTAGGCCTGGGGGCCCTGTTCAGCCACAGGAGAGTGAAGTCAACCCAGGGTTGGGTGAGCAACAAGGGGAGGAACCCTATGTCACGCCTCTACCTGCGCCCCACTCCAAAGTGCTGGGCTCCCTACCTCCAGCCCTCATTAGCTGGCTAGAAGGCGGACAGGAGGGGCAGTACCAGGTTTGGCTCCTCCACTCCTGCTCTGGCTCAGAGCCTGGTGTTTGCAGCTGGCAGTGGGACCCAAGCCTAACAGCTGCCCCAGAGCTCAGCCCTTCCCTGAAGCCTGCGGCCGTCACAGAGGCCCTGTCTGCAGGGCTGGGCTGTCCGTGTCCCACCCAAATGGCCAAGCATTTGGCTCCTTCAGATTCTCAGGGGCATGAACCTGTTGGCCAAGTCTGCCTTCTACAATTCTCCTTTCCTCACCCTGCCTAGGGCCACCAAGGCATGGAGAGGAACACGGTGACTGTGTTGAAAACACAAGCCTTCACTGACCAGTGGCAAATTAAGAGCCTCTACCAGACAGTTTGGACCAGAGAGCCTTACCTGTTGAGCTACACTACCTCCCTCTCCTGACTCCTCACAGCTGTTCTCCCTTCGGTGGCCTCTGGAGACTCTGCTGAGATGTAGCACCAAGACCTAGAGCCGAAGGCCAGAGCATGCCAGCACCACGGGCCTTCTAACTCCTTCCACAGAATGTCAAGCCCAGACAAGCCACAGCAAGAATGCTCAGAGCAAGACCGCCTGTGGTGGGAACGCTCGGGACTGTTGCCAGCCTGCCCCAGACACGGGGAGGGGTCCCACGGTGGTCAGGCATGGCAGGCAGCTCCACTCTCCCAGCACTCCTGCAGCCTGCGTGGCCCAGGCTGGGCTGCCCACACCCAGCCTCCTTTACACAGAGACCTGCCCAGTAGTCATGGCAGACGCAGACGGAGGCAGAGATAGGCCTGTGCCAGAGTGGTGGCATGGTCCTTACGGGTAGGCAGGCTGCAGACCTCTGCCAGCTGTGCACACACCATCCTCCCCACCAGGAATCCACCAGAATTGGTTACGGCCAGGGGAACACACTGAGCCAGGGCCCCCCTGCCCCAACACTCCCACGTAGCAGGGTTCATTATCGGCAGTCACAGAACCAACTGGAGGGCCCCATTAGCAGGAGCACTCACATCTGAGCCCAAGACTGGCCCAGGATAAGGGTAAGGACTCAGGGCAGGAAAAAATCCCAAGTGTCACAAGCTGACACTGTGGTCATTTTCCATCCAAGGTGGTGCCCCCTTGTCTCTAGGAGCCTAGCCTTGCCTACACCTGCCGCCTGCTGGCCCTGTCCCACTGGCCACATGCTGCTGGACCCTTCCCAGCAAGACATGAGCAGGCCAAGCATGGCTGGTCCCCGGCCCAGCAGGCTCTGTGGAAATCAGGGCTAGGCCTCAGCCAGCACCGTTCCACGTGGTCCAGCCTGTAACAGAGTAGCCTGCGCCTCTCACCAGCACCTGTCTGTGGTCACGCTGGGTGTTTTTAGCACAGTCACACAGTTCTCCTCTAGCCCTGGCTAGCAAACCACCAATCTTCCAAGGGCTGTCCCTCATGGAGACCACTGGTCAGGACACAGCTGGGTGGGACACAGCGAGGGCTTCCTCCCGTCTCATTTCTCATGCCTGAAACCAGTACCCCAATACCCAGGGCTGCCCCATCAAGAGGGGAGGAATCCCAAGGAGTCCAGGCAGGGAGGTCAGTGCAACTCATTCATGTCATGGCTCCCCACTGTGCACTGGGACATGTGAGCACAGAGAAGCGGCCATCACATGAGGGGCCTCTTTGTCCCTCCCCTCCAGTAGCCCCCATCCTTGGACATCTTAGGCTCTATCCTGTTTCAGAGGTAGCACCTACACCCAGCACGACCCAAGTCTCCTCTGAACAGTGTCTCCAGCAATGCCTCCTCACACCCCCTACACAGTTACCACAGGGACAGACGGGAAACGGCTCATTATCCTAGGGCCCCTGACGTGGGCCAAGTGGCTTTCCTGTAGCTCTGTGCCTCCTCCCCTGCCCCAATCTGTCTGATCTTAGTCACTTACCCCAGGGCCCAGTGCATCATCGCTGGCTGTGTTCCACTTGCCCCCAGCCTCGGGCTCACTGCCTCACCTCGGAAGGGCTCACCAGGGGAGTGTGGAGAAGGGGTGACCAGTGGGGAGTATAGGATCAGGGCAGGTGCAGGAAGTGATGATAAAACACAGATAGGCAGGTTGCCATGGAAAATACAGATGCCCAAGGTTAGCCTGGGCCCCCATCACAACCTGGCCAAAGCCTCCCCGAAACAGCGAAGTCAGAATCTGCCACCGCCATGCAAGAACCTCAGCCCAACGTGTGGAGGACTACACGGAGCCACCCTGCCCAGCACAGCCCCAGGTGCACATGTGGCCCAACTTTCAGGTCCACAGGAATGGGTTCCAAACCACCCTTTGCTCTCCCTCTCTTAAACAAACGTGCAGCTGGTATTCCATATTGAAGAATGCCGAGCACTACAATGTAACACACGCTCACACACACCACCATCTCGGTGGGAAATTTACTAACAGAGTTACTGAGCTTTTCTCCTTGGTCTGAAATGCTAGATTTTGCCATCTACCCCAGAGTGTACAGGCTATGCCCCTGACTGGCCCCCAAACCTCCTCAGACATATCACTACTGATATTTAAGATGACTGGGGGGGCCAGCAGGTGGCATGATGGTTGGGGCACTAGACTCCCACATGGCTGATCGCAGTCCAAGTCCCAGACCTAGTGGCTTGCTTTCTCACTTTCCCTCTTTCTCTCTCTTTGTTTCTCTCTGGTCAAATTTTAATAATTAATTAGCTAAAATAAAATAATGCAACTGTGAAGTAGCATGTGAGGATGCAGGTAACAGGATGTGCTTTAGCAAAATCAAAACTCACCTTAGAGCACACACCAGCCTTGAATCAGCATCCCAGGCATTTAGTTGCTACTTCCTGGGTCACAAATTCGCTCAGCCACCAAGATTTCCTGTTGGAAACTAGCGGCCATTGCTGGCACAGAACACGGCAAACCAAAGAGGTAGACAGCAAGCCAGTCTGGGGAGAAGCGGTTTTTAAAAGGTGGTTTTACACATTTAGCATTCACCATCTTAACCACACAAGTGGCCTACTCAGGTCTGCTCTGTTGGCTTACTCACTTTTAGCCCCAAAAAACCACCAGCTTTTAGAGGGAAAGATTTATGGAATGTAAACTGGGATAGTATAGGATTATGGCTTTCCTTTACTTGTAAATACTTCAAAAACACACAGAAATTAAATCACGTTTAGCTAGGCAGTTAGCAAACTGTTTTTATTCAAAAAAATAAAGTTCATGAAATTGAGACTGCACAGGACGAGGCTGCCCTTCCTGTACCTCTGGCAGGACCTAATGATACTATTGAACTGACTTTATGTCAACAAACTGGCAAAAAAAAACTGGCAAACCATAGGTTCCTGCCACATGGTAGCTCTGGTTAAAATGCAGATGGATACCCTGGGTGCTGGTGGGGGTCAAGCCCCTGGAGGAATGGGGTGAAGCTCTGAGAGAGGCCAGGAAGCCCAACAGGGCCAGCATGACACCTGCTGGGGGAAATTCCACATAGTCAAGCCTGTCATCATCTCTAACCTTGGCCATATAAGTGGAGACCCTCCATCAGGTGTCCTGCATATTGGGGTGTCATCCCCTACTCTACTGCTCAGGGCTGACCTTGGGAAGGAGTAATATTCATACTTGTTGCACCTGGAGCAACAGGCCAGGGTAGTAGTACTGGGACCGAGGGAGTGTTCCAGGAAGGACAGACTTGTCATGTTCCTGTGTGTGGGCTGCTTTGTCCCCAGGGTTGCTTGTGCCCACCAGGACATGCCTGGCACCTTTGCCTAGCTCTTCAATTGGTTCGGACCTCAAGGATAAAGGCGGAATTATTTATCACTGCCCCCACCCACACATGCGAAAACACAAACACAACCCCTCTGATACGGCATCAGACCGAATCTATAGGGAGAAAGCACCAAATCCAAACTAACATGCCAAAACAATCCATCAAGAGCTCACCTGTCTGGCTGTCAGTCGCCCGCCCACTGGCCTTGAGACTCTTGGGCTGCAGCCCTGATGCCTAGAGACCTGGGGATTGGCTTCCAGCCTTGCTGAGATTCAGCTCAATCCCTGAGCGATCCAACCCTGTGGCCATGGGGAGACGCCGAAATGCACAGTTAGCACCTCCGACCGGCCCACGACTGGCAGTGAGCGCCTGTCTGTTCATTTCCCCCAGCCCACGGTCACGACATTCAGAGTTGCCTCCTGCCCTAAGCGCTCCCTGGGGTCTGGCCGCCGTGGCTCCATCTGGGGTGCAGGAAACGCCAGCGATGGGCCCCATCAGCGCCGGGGTCGCGGCGGTGGCACCAGGAAGCGCACGGGCCACAAACCACCCGGCGCGGAGCAGCTAGGGTCCGGGGCACCAACCCACCAACTGCCCAGACAAGCTGAGTGTGCGCAAGCTGGACGCCCACCCTGATCCTGCACCCCGCCCCGCCCCCTGTCATCGTGTGCCCTAGCCCGGGGAAGCCACCCTGCGCCCCCGGCGATTCCAGAGCCTGTCCAGGCCGCGCTGGCCGCGCCGGCCCCGCCGACCCTGCACTTGCCCTCAAGTTTCCGTCCCTCCCGCGGGGCCCGGGTGAGCCAAGGTTAGCAGCCAGCCCGTCAGTCGCGGCTCGGCCGGGGCGCGCGGGGGCCCCAGCCAGCCCCTGCCCCCTGGCGCCCCCCCCCCCCCCGCCGCGCCGCCTGCCGGGAGCTGTAGTCCAGTGCCTGTAGTAGTCCCGCGCAGGCCTCGATTCACGCCTCGATCCCCAGCTGGCTCCGCGGCGGGCGGCGGGCGGCGGCGCTGACGCACGCGGGCAGCGGTGGTTCCCCGTGGCCAGAGAGCGGGCTCTGACCGAGTGTGTGGAGGGTCCGGAGGAGTGAGCGCCGGCACGCAGGTCAACCCAGCGCTCGAGCTAGCGTTTGCACCAGTGCTCAGGCGGTGGGACCGCGCGGCGCCGCGGCCACGCCCCTCCGCAGTAAGCAGCGGGGCAGGCTCCGGAAGTGCGTCAGGGGTTTGGGGCTGAACGTCCCGCGGTCTAGACCCGACGTGGCGCCGCCGGCTTTTGGAACGGCGCGGCTCCCACCGCCTGCGCTGTGGCTGTCTGAGAGACGCACTCCGTTGCTATGGAGACGGAGGCTCCGACGGTGACGTTAGACTGAGGAGAACAGGCGGGGCTTTTGCATTAACGAGCCGTCACACTGCCCATTCTCCTTGGCCGAGTTTGTTTAAAGACAGCTAATGCCAGTGCTTGGTTTTGATCCTCGCAGAACTTAAAGCAGTGAAAACTGCAGCACAGCTCTGCACCCCAGACGCACACGTTTTCTCTGTTTCTGCCTTATAGAGACCTCCACATTACTGAAGTGTAGACTGCTAATTTTTTAAATAATTATTTTATTTTAACTTTATCATTATTATTTTCCAATTTGACCAGAGAGAGACAGAAAGACAGACAGTGAGAAAGCAAGCCACCAGGTCCAGGATTTGAACCACAGAGCGCCATGTGGGAGTCCAGCACTTTTAACCACATCACCTGCCAGCCCCTTCTAATTTTCTTATTAACGTTAGACATTTCTGTGGATGCCAGAGAAGGTCAATTAACTGCCAAACAACTCCCCCTCCCTTCCTCACTCCTCAAATTGTCCTGTTAATTCCTGTTATGAGTTAACCAGCAGAGCAGGTTCACGTGTTTATTATGATTGAGCCCCTGCTATTCACCGCTACTGCATAGAAATTACCCAAGACAAATGCTAAGGCAGAGGAAGCAAAGCAAGAGTTTATTTGGACCAGAATTGAGGATGTTGCCTGGGTGTCCAAATATTTAAGTGTGCTGTGAATATATACACCCATGTCTTACACTTTTTATTTATTTATTTTGGAGAGGTTTTTGCTATAGGGCGTGTGCGCTCACCAGAAAGAGAGAGAGACAGAGAGCCTCAGGATCTTGGGCATGCATGTACACGTGTCCGGCGTGAGTTTAAGCCACCAGGTCTGGGATTCGAACCGCGGTCGACTACGTGGGAGTCCAGCAACATAGCCATTACACTAACTGCTGGTTCCACAATGTCTTACACTTTTAAGGGTGATTTTATTTTTAGTATTTTGTTATAGGACATGTGCACTCGCTAGAGAGAGAGAGACATAGACAGTGAGAGGGGATGAGAAATCACCCCAGGGGGGATGGCCAGGCTGCAGTCCTTTATCCTCCTGGGATTTTGGGCACACATGCACATGCACCTGGCATGCTTTTCAAGCATCTGGGCCCGGACTTGAACTGCAGTCAGCCATGTGGTAATCCAGCACCTTAACCACCACTTCACCTGCTGTCCCCTTCTGGGTGAATTTTTTTTTTTAAGAGATTTTAGCCTTAGTGTTCAGTAGAGACAGATACAGTGAGAGGGAAAGTGACAAATCACCCCCCAGGGGGTATGACTATGCCACAGTCCCTTCTCCATCTGGGATCTTGGGTACGCATGCACACACACACCCCGGTGTGAGTTTCAAGCCACTGGGTCTGGGACTCAAACCTCAGTGAGTCACATGGGAGTTCAGCAATGTAACCATTATGCCATCTGTTGGTCCCAAGGGTGCATTTAAAGAAAAAAGTCAGGCCAGCCAATGATGGCATGGCACAGTTCAAGTCCCTACCTTATGGCCTGAAATGCGGTATGAGTATGTGCCCAAAATCCCAGAGGAAAAATGGAACAGAGGGGATTGTGACATGGTTATCTCCCCAAGGGTGCTTTCTTACTTTTTTCCCCACCTTAGCACACATTCCCTATAGCAAAAAAAAATTTTTTTTGAGAGGTTTTTCACTATAGGGCACATGCACTCGCCAGACAGACAGAGAGACAGACAGAGAGACAGAAAGCGAGAAATCACCCCCTAGGGGGGATGGTCATGCCGCAATCCTTCTCCTCCATTCTCCTCTGGGGATCTTGGGCATGCACGCACACACGCCTGGCGTGAGTTTCAAGCCGCCGGGTCTGGGACGTGAACTGCGGTCGACTACGTGGGAGTCCAGCGACATAGCCATTATGCTAACTGCTGGTTCCCCCTATAGCAAAATTTTTAAAAGTAATAAAGGCAAAAGTTCTAGAAGGGGAGAGATATTACATCTTTTTTTTAAGAGATTTTTGCTATACAGCACATGTGCTTGCCAGAGAGACAGAGAGATAAAAAGCAGGAAATCATCCCCCATGGGGGATGGCCACACCACAATCTCTTCTCCATTCTCTTGGGTTTGGGGGCACACATGCACACACACCTGGAGCGAATTTAAGCCACTGGGTCTGGGGCTTGAACTGCAATCGACTGTGTCGGAGTCTGGTGATATAACCATTATGCTCTCTGCTGGTCCTAGTATTACATCAGTTTTTTTCTTTAATCAAAGCTTTATATAGGTCAAAATCTATAGGAGGGAGTGTGTACAGCAGTGATTGGCTAAATGCTCTGATAAGGGGATCAGGATGACCTCATACGTGCCTGGGGTCAGCATGCTTATTCTTTTACTATTATTATTATTTATGGCTTTTGCCATAGAGCACATCTGCTCACTGAAGAGAGACAGAGAGAGGAAAAGAGAAATCACCTCTCACGGAGGATGGCCATGTCACAATTCTTTTTCCTCCATTTTCCTCTCTGGATTTTGGGTGCTGACACACGTGCCCAGCATGATTTTCAAGTCATCTTGCTTAATCTGTTATTTTCTTTTTTTAAAAAAATTATTTATTTAATTCCATTTGTTATCATTATTTCTTTCATTTTACCAGAGAGAGATGGAGATAGAAAGAGGGAAAGGGAGAAAGCAAGCCGCCAGCAGGTCCGGGATTCAAACCACGGTTGGCCATGTGGGAATCCAGCACCTTTAACCACCATGCCACCTGCTGGCCCCACTTAATCTATTTTTTTAGAGTTTTTTTGCTTTAGGGCATGTGCACTCTCCAGAGAGATAAAGAGACAGTGAGAGGGAAGGTGATAGATCAGCCCCCAGGGATGATGGCCATGCCACAATCCCTTCTCCATCCTCATCCTGGGATCTTGGGCATGCACACTTGACATGATTTTCAGGCCACTGGATCTGCAACTCAAACCGTGGTTAGCCATGTGGGAGTTCAGTAACTGCTATGCCGTCTACTGGCCCCATGTTGCCTAATCTTAAAGTATAGAGACAATGAATCTGATTCATTGTTGTAACCATAACCATTTTTTAAAAATTTTAAGAATTATTTAAGTTTATTTATTTATTTTTAAAATTTGCTATAGGGGGGAACCAGCAATTAGCGTAATGGCTATGTCGCTGGACTCCCACGTAGTCGACCGCGGTTCGTATCCCGGACCCGGTGGCTTAAAACTCACGCCGGGCGCGTGTGCGTGCGTGCCCAAGATCCCGAGAGGAGAATGGAGGAGAAGGGATTGCAGTGACCATCCCCCCTGGGGGGTGATTTCTAGCTTTCTGTCTCTATGTCTCTCTCTGTCTGTCTGGCGAGTGCACGCGCCCTACAGTGAAAATCTCTCAAAAAAAAATTTTAAAAAAAATTTGCTATAGGGCACATGTGCTTATCACAGACAGTGAGAGAGTAAGAGAGAGAGAGAGAGAAGGAAAGTGAGAAGGCAAGCTGCCTGATCCGGGACTTGAACTATAGTCAGCCATGTGAGATCCCAGCTATCTTAACCACCATGCCACCTGCCAGCCCAGTAATGGTTCTTAAGGTACAATACATTAGTTGCAAGTATTGCAGACCTACAAAGGTTTGTATTTCTTTAACTGGGGCCACAGATACTCCTATGTCTTGTCAGTCATAGCTATTCACAAACCCTGGGTCTAATGCAACCAGTCTTCATCCAGGAGTTTGTTTGTTTGTTTGTTTGTTTGTTTGTTTGTTTTTACCATAGGGCATGTGCGCTAGCTGGAAGGAGAGAGAGATGGTGAGGGAAAGTGAGAAATTATCCTGGGAGCAGGAGTGATAGTCATGCTGCAATCCCTTCTCCTCTGTTCTCCTGAGATCTAGGGCAGGCATGTGCATGTGCCTGATGTGATTTCCTTTACTTAAAAAAAATATTTAGTTATTTATGTATGTATTTATTTTTTGTTATTATTTTTTAAATTTGACCAGAGAGTGAGAGATAAAAGGAAAGGGAAAAAGCAAGCGGCCAGGTCTAAGACTTGAACCCCAGTCAGCCATGTGGGAGTCCAGCACCTTAACCACCACACCACCTGCCAGACACCCAATGCGATTTTCTTTCCTTTTTTTAGAGAGATTTTTATAGGGCGTGTGTGCTCACCAGAGACACAGAGAGAAACAGAAAACAAGAAATCACCCACCGGGGGGATGGCCACACCACAATCCTCCATTTTTCTCTTCAGATCTTGAACATGCACATGCACCCAGTGTGAGGTTTTTGTTATTTGTTTGTTTTTAACTTAACTTTATTTATTTTAATTTGACCAGAAAGGGACAGAGCAAGAGAGAAAGAGAAAGTAAGAAAGCAAGCTGCCGGGGCTGGGACTCAAACTGTGGTCAGCCTGTGGGAATCCAGCACCCTTAACCACCAAGCCACCACCGCTCCCACCCCAATGTGTGAGTTTTAAGCTGTAGGGTCCAAGATTCGAACTCTTGTCGAATGTGTGAGAGTCCAGTGATATAACCATTCCCCCATCTGTTGGTCCCCCGATGTGATTGTCAAGCTGCCAGGTCCAGGACCTAAACTGCAGTAGACCATGTGGTAATTCAGCACCTTAACCACCATTCCACCTGCTGGCCCCCATCCAGGAGTTGTAAGGTGTCCCCTGGTCTCTGGACTCTGTGGGTTGCCAGCCCATCCTCTGGATTACAAATACTCTAGGACTGAAGACCCGCAGATGTGGTGGTTAAGGCACTGGACATTCCTACATGGCTAAGGGTTAGAGTCCTGAATCTGGTGGCTTGCTTTCTCACTTCGTATCTCTCTTACTCCCACCCTCTGTCTCTCTCTGGTCGAATTAAAAAAAGATGAATGAATGAATAAATAAAATATATAATTATTTAAAAAAAAACCTCTAGGACTTTCTATGTAGCCTTGTGCAAAAGGTTT